TTTTGTTTTATAATTTTCTTTCTTTTTTCCCTCTCTTCTTTGCGGGCATATTATTTTGTTGTTGTTGTTGTTTTGTTAAACAACTTTTTTTTTTCTTTTTCTTTTCACTTTCCTCTCTGTGGCAAAGTTTGTCTCTAGGACTTGGGTGGGGAAAGGAGGGGGGTTTTGCTGGAACTTGGGAATGTTCACCCCCCATTAAATTAGTTCAAACCATGACACTGAATTCAGCACCCAGCTCATCCCTGCCAGCAGCTCAGCCCCTGCAGCCACAGCACTGATGTGAAACAGCTCTGCCAGACCCACAACCACCAAAGAGAGGATTCTGGCTGTGGGATCCCAGACAAAAAGGATCCCTCTGCCTTCTAGAGAAGAGTTTAAGCTGCTGCGCTTCCCTTCTTTCCAGGAAGCTAAAAAAGCAAACACAAACCTTGATTATGTGGAGCTTTGGTAGGAGGTTGCAATCGGCTAAAGTGAGCTCATCTCCATCCAGGAATTTCCGGCTGGAAACGGTGATCTCCTCTGTGCTGTAAGCATCGATTTCATCAGGCAAGGGGCTATTTAAATAGTTGTCCAGCTTCTTCAGGGCTTTAAGCAAAGATTTTTCCAAATCTGGGTTAAGACAATAAAAAGATCATTCAAGCCTGTACCAAGGTCCCTGTGACACCGAGCGACTCGTGCATCCTGTCTCCTGGCACCAACCCAGACAGCCAGCCGTGCCAACTCCTGTGATTCCTTGATCCTGAGCTTAAAACTTAATGCTGGGATAAGGGCTCTAAGGAGCTAAAGGGAGTTCTGGGAAAAACCATCCTGGGGCTGTGTGACCAGGAATGGCTCCTCAACCCCCTCCGTGGGGCAGGGTTTGGCACCGTGGCTGTGCCTTGGGAGCCACGGGGCCAGTGCTTGCCCACAGACAGCACAGCCCAGCTGTGGAGTGACAGCAGCGAGTCCCTGGGATGCCACTCTGGGCTCTGCAAAGCCAGCCCAGGCAATGAAGCTGAGAGCTGAAGGACAGGGACAGAATCCTGGAATGATTTGGGCTGGAAATGCCACCCCTGCCATGGCAGGGACATCTCCCAGTGTCCCAGGCTGCTCCCAGCCCCAATGTCCAGCCTGGCCTTGGGCACTCAAAGGGATCCAGGGGCAGCCACAGCTTCTCTGGGCACCCTGTGCCAGGGCCTGCCCACCCTCCCAGGAAGGGATTTCTCCCTAAAACTGAATGTAACCCTTCACCTGAGGCCATGGTGGCCATGAGGGTCCTGCTTTAGGGACCCCTAAACCCCTGCCAAGGGGCTGCAGCCCTCATTATTTATGGGAACAGGGCAGTTCTCACTTCCAGAGAGCCGTGCTGTCAGCAAAGCTGTGGGGAAGGCTCARCCACACCAACCCCAGAGCTGAAGGAATGAGCAGAGGCTGGAATTGGTGCTGCCACGGCACCAGCAGTGTCTGCTTTCACAGCTCTAGGAATCCTCCATCAGGGGAGGGAACAGGCGCAGATTCCCACAGCCTCCAGAAAATCCCTGCTTAACCTCAGCTGGAAATGGCACATCTCAGCAGTGCCCTACAGCTGCACAGGTCTGGTTTCTCCCTCCTGGGCTGAGGACAGGCTTGCAGCACCTACTTTCATTTGCATCTTTTCTCGGGTTCTTTATAAACGCAGAGAATTTTGCAAAGACGTCATTTCCCGCTGAGTTCGACTCGGGGTGTTTCGGTGCAAGTTTGGGATACCTGGGAAGGTAAAAGAAACAAAAGGAAGTTACCTAATTAGCTTTTACTGTCATCTCCGCTAATTAACACACATTTATTTGTAGAGTGAGCACACACAGCCACCCAGGACTCAAAGGGAACCATCCTAAACTAAAAATCCCTTATTCTAAACCCTGCCTAAATCACCTTTCCCTGAGGGCAATGGGAATTGGCTGTTACTGCTGCAAGCACTGCCCAGACATCCCAGGTTCTATTCCAGCTTTTCTCCTCCAGAGGTGAGGCTGCCTGGAACGTGGCTCCTTCGGGGAAAATCCCCATCTGGGGAGCTGCTGCTCCTCTCAGCCTCTTCACCTGGCCCATTTGGGGCAGCAGCAGGCTGGCAGCAGCCAGGGATGGATGAGAAAGGGAAAAAGTGAAGAGATGCAGCTGCTTCCCTGGTTAAAGTCAGGATTGGYTGCTGGAGAAGGGAGTGGAGGGAGAGGATTGATATTCCTGGCCAGAAAAGGTCTGTGGGTAGGGGACAATGGAGGGACAGCAGTGTTTGGGGTGAAATGGGAAGAGCTGCTGGGGTGGGGAGGACAAATCCAAACCTCAGCCCCTCACGTGTAGCCTGATGGACCCACCTGGACATGCTGAATGAGCCCCAGTCCAGTCACCAGGGCTGGAAAACACCTTCAGCATCCCCCAGCCCCACCAGCATCACCCCAAACCCTGCCCCAAGGGCCATCCAGGCTCCTCCGGGACACTTCCAGGAATGGCCATCCACCCTGGGCAACTCATTCCACCCTTGAAAGGAAAACACTTCCCAATGTCCAATCTGAGCCTCCCTTGGCACCACCTGAGGCCATTTCCTCTCCTCCCTTCCCTTGGGATGCAGCAGCAGAGCCCGACCCCCCCTCACTGCAGCATCCTTCAGGTGCTTTTGAGGAGCACTGGGGTCCCTCCTGAGCTTCCCAATCCCTACTCCATGAAGCTCAATTGTTTTTGAGGAGGGAAACCCCAAACTTTGCCCAGTGGAGGAGGAAGGTCAGGTTTCTGCAGCAGCTCCCGGGTTCCCATGTGATGGATTCCATGGTTTGGAATGCCTCAGGTTCCCAGGTGATGAATTCCCTGGTTTGGGAACGCCTCAGCTTCCCATGTGATGGATTCCATGGCTTGGGAATGCCTCAACAGTGATCTCGGGATGCATTCCATGGCTTGGGAATGCATCAGGTTCCCACATGATGGATTCCCTGGTTTGGGAATGCCTGGGGTTCCCATCTGATGGATTCCATGG